TAATATGGTAATACAGCAACTTAGCTGTCTGTCCCTTAGTCAGCTATAGCATACATATTTATTCGCACATGGGATAACAAATTCGTACGGGTATCACAGAATTGACGCGGTCAACTCTATTTTTCTCGTTTTTTTAAATTTTTGATTCAATATTTGAATTTGTATAAAGAGAATGTATACGTATATAAAGCGAATGTACAATTTTAAATTATTATCTTATATGTATACATTTATAATGTATGTATTAAGTAAAAAATAATTTATTGTTTCGTATTTTTTTACTCAATTCAAATATTATGAAAATTTTTTCTCTTGGAATACATATTACACATGTAGATTTATACATAATTACTACAAAAATGTAGAAGCTTTACAAAATATAATATGGTACTCGTACTCGTAGTTTACTATGCTTCTATTATAGTTGTTGTACAAGTTTGTGCACGAATTGAATATAACGTAGTATTTAAAAGTAACAAAAAGTACAGAAATTTTGAATATAAAAAAATGGTCACAATTAAACGCCATCATAATCTACCATTACCAAAACTATGCTGCCAATATTGTTATTGTTTTATCTTTCTATGTACATTTATAACTACATTATGTACATATACTCGTATATATAACGATGCAAGTATTTTTAAATTATTCGAGTTTCGCAGAAATAATAAAATTTTGTAATTCTTTGTTTCTTCATCAAATTTCGTTATGGTTGGTGTCCGTTTAAACTTTAAATAATAGAGAAAATTAATCTTTTTGTCGCGGTTTTAGTTTTATTTTCTTTTTCGAAAAAAAAAAATTTTTTTTTTTGTTCAGGAAAAAGAAATTTGCGATTTTGTTTAATTATTTCTCTTTGAATTTGAATTAAAAGATCCTATTCTATATCTAAGGGTATGTAAGTATATATATATATATACAAAAAATTAAGTAAATTTTTTATGGTTTAAAGCAAATTTTTATTGAAACTTTTGCCTTATAAACACTATATTTGTTATGAACCATGATATCACAAAAAAGAAAAATTAATTATACAAGTTTAGTACAAAAACGTTGCTATGCCTTTATGTCACAATATTCATGATTAAAAAATTTTGTATGATAATTTAACTATAAAAAGTGTATGAGTACAGAATTTTTGGGGAATAGATATGTGGGAACAGAAACTTTGACGTCACTTTTTTATTATATTTTTAATTTTCGAATTTAAAATAACTTTTGTCATGTAATAGATGGTACAAAATCCAATATATGTGCATGTATGTACGTATGTGTATTTACGTTTCTAGATATTTTGCATCCAGATAAGGGTGTACATATTCGAACATCTGAATGGAATTACACCCCCTTGAAGGATGAAATCTTAAATTCGATGGCCATTGTGTCGCTAAAGAGGTCCATATTTCGATTTATTTTTTTATATTAAAATAATTTTTCTAGTTTTTGTTTTTATAGAAATCCTTAACAGTTTTTTACAACGATCAGCAATTAAGATTTTTTTTTTTAATTTCATATTAAAATATTCATTTTATAAAAAAATCCAATTCAATAACTCCTTTAGGAACTCATTTTAGTTTTTTCCTTTTTTCTATTTCAACTCATTCCGTTCCTTAAAAAAAAAACTTTTCCCAACTGCCTGAAAATGTTCAAGAAATTCTTTTTTTATTTGTTGTTAAATTGAGAGGAATGGAAATAAAGTGGTGGCTAGTAAAGAAAAAAAAGGGAAAGGCACGGAATCAGCACGTTGTCGGCAATAGAAAAAAAAGTTTCCATAAAACTATATGGCGTAGAATAAAAAAAAATAAATAAAAAAACACAGAAAATGTGTACAAAAAAAAAAAAACTACAATTAAGGGGTGGTGGTTGGTAGTAAGACTGGTGTTGATGTTAAAAATGAATAAATCACAACGCATATACATACATAAGAATATGTTTGTATGTGTAAATGTGTATATAATTATTGAAGTTTACATGTTTGATTGTATAGTATGGTAGCAGATGAATTAATAATTGAGTATAAAGTGAGTGTGGTGGCATTTAAAATTATACCCAGAAATGTTGAGAGTTAGCAAAAAAAACAAAAATGGAATTAATTTCTTTTGTATTTAATTTTTTTTTCTTTCTTAACATAAAAACATGATTTTTTTTATTATTCTCGTACCAATCTCTATATTGGTGTGTGTATAACACGCTTAAAAAGAACAATGTACACGTATACATATGTATATATGTACAGGTTGTATTGTGTACACATCTACATAATTATATACGTGTTGTACGTTTTTTTTTACTTTAAAAATTAAAACAGTGTCGGAGTAAGAGATGCACCTCTCTTTATTTAGAAAAGAAACAAAAGAAAAAAAGAATTCTACATAGAAACACTTATTTAGGTACCTTCCTTACAACCTTACGTTGTAAAATATATACGTAGGTACATATATGTAATATGAAATACATTAAGGACGAAAAAGATATATGAAGATCGCAAAAGCTTTAAGCATTTTTGTAATACACAATTGTATTGTGTTATAAGAGTGAGAATAAAGAAAAAAAAATTGTTTTAGTAGTTGTCGTCAGGATATTTTTCTTTCAATGATGATGGTTTTTATTTCATTTTTTTGTCTTTTTATCCTTTGCTCCTTCTAGTATGTTACTTTTTGTTTTATTTTTTGCGAAAATAAATTTGCTGATATTTATTTTGTTTTTATATTTTAAAAGAGGCAAAAAGGAAATTATTGATATGAAAAACCAAAAGCTAATAAACAAAAAAAAGAAAAACCAAAATAAAAACATCGATTCTGTACTTTTTGGGAGCGTTAATCGAATTATTTTACATATTGAAATAGTTTATGATTTTGAAACCAGTTGTGTACTCAGAGCAGCAAAAACTAAAACTATTATGACATAATTTTTGACTGGAAATCTGTTTAATTTTATATTAGAGTTACGTTCATAAAATGATACATAAATGAAATGTACATAATTATACAGGTACTGTATAATTCAAAAATTTTTAAGCAAAATTTTTAAGGAACTTATTTCTGTATTTTGAAACCTACGATATCCCAAAATATTAATTTAGTAGCGTCTTTTTTTCAATTTTTTTGGCCTCTACTTTACCCCATAAACCTTGTTAGTTTGTTCTTTTGGCAATCAAAGCAGAAGTTCAAGGAACTCATTCCTATAATGTGTTCTTAAAACATTAATAATTCTATGGTTTTTCATATCCTGCAACTTCGTGAAGGATATATTCACTTTGGTATGGAGCTTGTAACCACTTAAAAAAGTCGTCTCCGATACGAACATGTATATACATTCTTGCTCATCGTAAAATTCTGCGCTGATTTAGACATACCCGTCCGATCGCACGATAACTCCAAAACAAGTAATGCAATAATCCGGACAACGGGTTCTGGTAGCTTCCTTCTATACAACTCAAAGAAGTTTTTATTATATTTCAAAAACGAATTAATGTATTGGTATCAAATTTTGTAAGGGTCCAATTATATCTTACATATACTCTGAAAATTTTTAAGATATGGCTGCGCCTGGTTCGAACAGCTCTAGAGAACTCCAAAAGGTAATTTTAAATATTTGAAAAAATAATAAAGTTAAATTCATCAAACTTGGCAGTCGCGTGTCCAATTATAGGTCATATATATCCTTGAAATTTTGATGGAATTACTTGACAGGTTCGGGTACCTACTACACAACTCCAAAAGCTAATTTAAAATATAAAAAAAATAATAAAGTAAGATTCATGAAACTTGGTAGTCGTGTGCGTTATTTCTGGTCAGACAATATCCCTGAAGTTTTGGTTGAATGGCTTGATAGGTTGGGGTAGCTTCCATAGAACTATAAAAGCTCATTTTAAATATTCGAAAAATAATACAGATTGGTTCATGAGACTTGACAGTCGTGTGTCCAATCATAGGTCACGTATATCAATGAAGTTTTAGTTGAGTTATTTGACAAGCTACCATACAACTCCAAAAGGAAATTGTAATTATTTGGGAAAATAATAAAGTTAGATTCATGAAACTTGGTAGTCATGTGTCCAATTTCAGGTCACATATATATCTGAAATTTTAAAGGAATGGCTTGACAGGTTTGGGTAACTGTCATACAATTTCAACAGAACTGTTCATACCGTTCTGTTTAAAATTTGAAATTAAAATTTGGTTATATTTATAAAATTTGAAAAAAAAAATTAGTGCAATTTACACAACTTATTATTTTAAAATATTTATTCTGATCACCTGAATTTGTTACATAATTTTAAATAACAAATATTTTTTAAATTCAAATTCAAATTCTTTTAATTATTAGCAATAGTGAAATTCACTATGAAGAAAATATTAAAGCAAATATATAATTTAAAAAAAATGCCAAAGATGTTGCAAATTTAAATAGAAAATTTAATTTTTACAGACTGAAGCACAGCATTCGGAACGAGATTGCTGCACTCCATGTGATAATGTGTAACCGATGGCTTGAAAATTTTGATTTTGTATATGGCAGCAGGTAGATGTTTTACACTTTTTAATGATACAATTTTTCACACACAATTTTAATCAGCTGTATTTTTAATAATAAAAGTGAAACATTCAAAAATCTAAATTTTTGTATATTTTATTTAAAACAACATCTAGGCACGAATTTTGACCTTAAATAATCTTCAGTTTGAAATTCACATTACTTTGAGTTAATGAAAATGTATACTTAAAGGAGTATTTCTAATTGATTATCGTTCTTTAATTTAAATTAATTATAAATAAATCGATTGCAAATGCAATAACATTGTATTATTATCCCAATGAAGAATTAATTAAGTACAACAGTTTTCATTTTATAAATCATTTTTATAATATTACATCGAATATTTTCACATACATAAAATGAACTCAGTATTATGATTAATCGATTAATTTAAGTTTTTACAAAATTATATCTTTGATAATTTTTTTCATGCATACGTATAACCATTAGTATTAAAAGGCGAGAATTTAAAAATATTAAACATTTTGAATTTAAAAATAAATTTTATGAATTTTTTTACTTACGTCCAGTGGTCGAAGTGGGATGCTCAAAGTGGTGGGATTGTAAAAAAAAAAAAAGTATTATTTTAGTTATTTTTTTAAAAAAATAACTAAACAAAATTTACAAAACTTTGGAAGTAAACTAACGAGAATATTTATATTCAAAATTAAATCAACTAAAAATTGAATCAAAAACTGTGCAAATTGTTACCAAAGAAATGCATAGACTACTATGTAGTAACGAAAATTTCATTAATAGAAAAAAATTATACGTTACTATTTGAAATTGGTCTTATTTAAAATTACATATATTTAATTTTTTGTTAAAAAAATTTTTAAAATTCATTAGAAAATTTTCTTAAATTTTAAAAAACATGTTCCGGAACGCATTTTTCTCTCCTATTAAGTAGTGGGATGGATTTCCAATTATTTAAAAATACTGGGATGGCATCCCACTCCATCCCGCCTCACTTCGAGCACTGCTTACGTCATCAAAATTTTATTATATCTCGATACGTACCTGAAATGAAAAAACAAAAAATTAAAATGAAAATATAATTGAATTTTCATGTCTTAAAGTTACTGTTATTTCCATAAAATGTGCGTGATTTATTTAGAATTTTTATATTAATATACATACATATACACATATGTACTCAAATACTAATAATATTCTTTTAAAACTATAATTTACGATTATTTTTAATTGTTAAAAATGGTGATTTAAGGCAATAGCTTACAATATAGTTTTATAGCTTATTATAGCTTTAGTTAAACTGTAGTATTTGAATATTTTAGGGATAAATATTTCTTTGGTTTTAAAAATAACACTTTAAATTTCCTTTGTACAATTGAAATGTTTATTTAGTGCCATTTAAGTAAATATGATTTTTTAATTGTAATTAAAAACTTTTATTTTGATTTGGATACAGTTGAAGATTTAAAATTTCAATAATACATTAATCAAGATATTATAAGATCAAACAATTACCCATAAATCATTTTATTTGTACATTTTATAAAATATTTTACAAATTATGTAGTTACACAGCTCTTTAACAATTTTATAGCTTATTTAAAGTGTAAAATTGAAATTTTGTATTTAAATGAGATAGAAATACACGAAAGAAAATGGATCACGCTCTGAACAGCCTATTTTCAATAATAAATTATTTTTCTGTACCTATACATCGAGCATTGTTACAAACTCATAATTTTAACATTAAATATACATATATTCATTTTGCATTCATTTTGAATTCATTTTTTGTGTGAAAATAAACACTTTCGCAAAGCCGCGAGAATAATTTTATATTACAATGCTATCCTGAAGAAAAATTGTTGACCAATGTCTGAATCAAACCAACAACTTTGTAGAATTTAATCCCTATTTGAAAATTTTTTGTAACACATCATCATCAGTTTTATTAAAAACAATATAACCAAAATTTGATTGTGATCAGCACATAACTGATCGAAGATTATTGTCAACTTTAGCGATAATGTCCTGCAATGATTATGAATATGTCCTTTAAATACTTTTTCCCAATTTCAAGGATGTTAGTAAGTTTTTAGTTAATAAAAGTACCTAGGAAAATGTAAATTTGGCTTTTAGTAGAGATTCACTTTATACCATCTTCACCGAAAACTAGACATGTGAAATTTGATGCACCATAAACTCCATTTATTATATGCAATGCGGTCGGTAAAAATTAATTATAAATATTTGACAACAAATTATACACATACAGGTACACCTGCCTATATTTTTCTTATATTTATTAGCACCTTTCAAAAAAATTTTTAAAAAGTAGTGCTTATTAGTTTTACTCTGTCCGTGGATATTTTACAAAACTTCTACACCTTTGAAGATAGAAACCTGGAATTTTATATGTAATAATGGTCTATTATTAGGAACTTATTTCTAAAAGTTATAGCTCCTTAAAGTCGTAAACACGCCATTTTTTGACAATTTATTGTAACGATAACATAAACATTTTTCAAATTCTGTAAACGCAGAATAGTATTGGTGAGCTTTTTTTAACACAGTATATCTGAATTCCGTTATCTGAATTCTGTTTTTCCAAATCTTCTAAAAACAGTTTTTCTATATTTGTATATTATTGAATAGTTTATTTCGGGAGAAGAAAATTTTTTCCACTTATTTTTCTTAACTCCCGCAAATAACCCCTAAATTCGAGCACTATGATAAAGATTGCATAAATCGTTTGTGCTAAATGTATGCCATTTTTGAAAAATATACGTAAAGTATGTACATGAATTGTTTTCAAAAGCAATATTTTCAATTGTTGAAGGAAAAGTGCTACTTTACAAACCAAGGGTTTGACAGAACTTTATTTCAGTATACTTTTAGTACATCAGCTTAGATATTGAAATGCATATACATACATTACATACTTTGTTTAAAATTCCTTAATTTCCTTAATTTTTAAGTATGTGCACATGAATGTATATATACATCGTTTGAAAAGGAAAAATCTTAAACGGTGAAAAGAATCTGCACCTTAAAATAAATTTGCGAGAAAAACCAGGTTTAGGGTAAATGTGATTTTATCTTTATATTTTAATAATTTCATTCAACTAAATTATTATGACTTGATTAAAACGCATACATATATAGCAGCTCATAATTTATTCATTGAACCCGAACTTAATTCAGATTTAAATTTTGTGCTATTTTTATCTATTATTTGTAATTCGACCTTAATCCCTTCTTATACACAACCACTGGTCTTATAAATTTATAAATCTTATAAATATTTTATATATGCATGAATAAACGCGTATGTTACAAGATATTTATATAAATTCATAAATAACCTAGAGATGCATTCACATACACATATGTAAATATATTAACATAATTAAGAAAGAAAAATCTGATGTGTTCAGCACATAGCCGACCGCATCGTGTATTGCCTAGTTTTAATAGAATTCTGTTTTGTACCACCCGAATTCCCTGAAAAGTTCACCAGTTGGTGCCGGTAACAACCAGAACTGAAAGATCAAGAAATTCCACCAATCCGTTCCGTAGATACGGTAAAAAATTTAAAATCGGCTCCAGTTCGGTTTCCAAGCTCTTTTCGAGATCTTTCAAAAAAATTTAGGGATTCTTTAATTTAACTTCCCGAGTTTAAGTTTTAAATTTCAAGGAAATTTGTTAATAATTTCCCTTTATTATAGGCGCAAAGTGTAAAATTGGGCCGCAAAAGGGCCCAGTTCCCAAAGTATGATATATCCCATAAGTTGATCAATTTGTACAATAGCCAAAATAAACTTACATATAAAATTTCATCAATATAGCTTCAGCCGAACTTGAGATACACGCGTACACACAGACCGACAGACTGACATTGCTCAAAAAATAGTTTATTTACGCTTTCCTACTATGGAGAAATGCATCCCCACCGAAAACTCGACATCCGAAATTTGGTGCCATCACATAACCTCCCTTATTGTTTGCAATGCGGTCAGTAATAAGTGTCTAATAATAATACAACAGACCAAATATTTTCTCTTGGAGCATATTTAATGAAAATGACCATCGTCGTCGTTAAAAACAAGGACACAAAAGAAAAAGGAAAAAAATCGTGCTTTTCGTGCTGATTTTGAAAAAAAAAATAATAAAAAAGAGATTTAAACAGAGTTGTATGATATGTTGTGTACGAGTGTGTATGTACAACACTCGTAATATATTACATACCAACATATAATCATGTATGTGTGATAAAGATAAAGTTAAATGATATATATTTTCTACTTGAAACAGTTTTGTTGTTTTGATTTTGTATTTCAGTTTTTGTTATTAACAAAAACATGTACCTTATACAGTTGTATAAATAAATGTTTACATAATTAAATGCACATAATTTATGTATAAACATATATTATACATTTATACATATTTATGTATGCATGTGCATAATGTGTATACATTAAGATATTGACAAGTGAACATGCTAAAGTATCCTCTAGACTTCTGATTTAATTTGCTCTCGTGTTTATTTTTTTTAAGTTTTTTTTTTTGCAAATTTTGCATATAAATTCTGGCTTGTACTTTACTTTTTATAATAGTTTATATAGTGTAAGTATATAAATTAATGCATTTTTTTTCATTGTTTCAATTTTTATGTTATGCTTTCCCCATTCTCATTACATGTACATATAAAATATATTCCCAAATCCTACATAATATACAATAAGAGCAATTACAAGCTTACATACTAAGTATATCTTAAGTATACACTTAGATATTTTAGATACATATTCATCATATCACACATAGCACGTACATATATATAAAACACATGCATATTGTTATGTATATACTTTCATGCAAGTTAAAAATGAATACATTGTTGTACTTATATTATGTTATTCATTTTTGTAATTTCAAATTCGATTTTTTAATCACTTCTACATTCTTCCTTAAAAAGCATTACAAAAAAATAAAAGAATAAAGAAAGAAAATTAAGTTTTTTTTCGCTTATTGGGTGTCGTAATATTTTTTTTCTCACTCTTAATCATGTGTACAAGTAGATTCGAAAAAAAGGAATAATAAGACAGCAATAAAAAAATTAAAACAAAAGAACTGTAAATCGAAAGACAAAAAGCGAAGGAACCCTCCTATATTTTTTTTAAGTTTTTTGCTCGATTCTTTTTTTTAATTTTTAATTTTGCCAGTATTTATTTGGAATCAATTCGAACCAAAACCCAACAGAAAAGAAACGAAAAAATATTGCACCAACAATTTTTATTTTATAAAACAATAAAATACTCTCTAAGAATCGAAATTGAAAATATTCAATTGTGGTAGTAGGGTACAAAATCGTTCCATCATCTAAAAAAAAAGTAGAAAAGTAGAAAAAAAGGAGCAAGCAATATAGTCAGAAATTGTACAAAAAATTAAAAATAAAAAAAAGTTGGCGAAATTGGAACCATTTAAAAAATTTTTCTTTCCAATTTTTTCCTCTTTTTTTTCTGTCTTAATTTTGTTATTTTTTGTGGGTTATTGATATATAACTATAGATTATGTAGATATTTTAGAAAAAATTGTATGTATGCTTAAACGTTTTTGTTATATACATATGTTTATACACATACGAATATTCATACTAATATATTTATTTTTTAACAACATACAAAAAAAATTAGAGGAAAGGAATAGGTACCAAATTTTATATAAATATGTAAGTACAAATGTCTCATATAGTAAATATGAGTAAAATTGTAGTAGCTACTAGCTAGTAGCATATAGCTTAAAGCTTTTATTTCAATACTGTGATTCCCAATTAAATACGTTAAAATTTTTTTCTTTTCTTTTTTTTATAAACATACTTAGTATGTATCACATACTAAACTATAAATATAGCATATTTATTTGTATTACATGTTAAGGATGTGCTTTATGCATATTCTGTACATATATATCATGCGGAATATTATTTAAAATACATGTGTACATATATACAAAGGTAACATACTCGTGTCTTAATTTAA